CAGGGAACCGTTATGATCCCATTATCCAGGCTGTGCCTGGCCCAGGCCCACAGTGTCACAAGAGGTCAGCATGAGGAAGGACCGGCCCCACGTGCCAGCATTACAAAACTCCCAGGGATCCTGCAGGCACCAAGCGATGCGGATGAGCGACTCGGGAAGGGACACCCAGGAGATGCACTCCCTTTCCCCAGCTCCGTGCCACCAGGAGCTGATACCCCCCGGTAGCATTGCAGTGCTCTCACAGGAGCCAAAACCACTCGTGGGGCTGTGCAGAGCCCACCCAGGGCCAGGCGCTCGCCACAGCTTGCCCTCACTGAGCATCGGTGCCAGACGAGCCTGGCTGTTTGGAGAAAGGCCCTTGGCATTTCCTCAAAAGAGCCAGACGGCTGCGTGCTGGGGCACGGCTCACAGCACCAGGCAGGATCCACCCTCCCCTGCACAGGCCACTTCTTGTTCCTGGGTGGAGAGCAGCCGATTCCTGATCTCCGTTCATCCCACAAAAACACCCTCATCTTACCTGTCACGGTGGAGTCCAGCAGCAAAGGAAAGAGCTCGCTCGGGGCTGGAGGGGCATCTGAGGGGAAAGCGAGTGCTGCCTTCCGCGGGCTCAGCAGGGCAGGAGCACGCGTTCAAACCTCAAGCTGCCAGGAAGCGGCTCTCGACACGAGCATGGCTGCAAAACAGGGCAACAGGAACATACAGCATCCGCCTGACCCCCTAAAAAGGGGCTCTGATCTTTGCCCCGTGGCAACCCCCACACCAAGGACACTGGGCTGCAGACCACGGGACCTTTCCTGCTGCGCTCGGGTGTCTCTGACACGAGCAGCTCTTCCAGGGACATCGTTTGGAGGAGAGGAAGCGGGATGGATGGCTCACCCCTGCCTGCAGCGCTGCCGGGGCTGTGTTTACTGCGTGTCCTAGCAGCGGCACAGCCTGCCCTCCGAGAGCCCCGGTTCCCATGGGCCCGGCTGGTTGCCCCAGCAGCTCCTGCTGGGGATGATTTTGGCCGTGCTGCTCCATTTCTGACCCCGCACCGGACCAGCCCAAGGATGTAACCATGGCTGGGTGGCATGGCCCTGCAGGCACATGGATTTTGATGCGGGGTTCCTTGGCATGTCACAAAGTGCCTCTTCTGTAATGGCTGTTACTTATTAAGCTTGTGATGCACTGAAGGCAGTAACTTTACACTATTAATAGCCGGTTGCTGGAGTTGCACAGGAGGTGCCCACGGGAACAACGCAGCTGGTGACACTGGGGAGCCAAGTGTTGTCACAGCGGGACGTGTCACCCCCCGCTGCTGCCTCCGTCCCCAGCAGCTCTGCAGCAGCCCCGGCTGTAGGTTGGGGCAGTTTCCCTGTTAATGGTCCTGGTGGACCAGCAATAGGGACAGCAGCCTCTGCGCCTGATCCCCGCTTTCCCCAGGGTGGACATGGGATGGGAATCACCTTGCTATCCACTCTGCTCCGGACCCTTCCCA